TGAGGGGTGATTTCTCACTTTTCTCTCTGTCTCTCTGGTAAGCGCACGTGCCCTGTAGCAAAGATCTCTTAAAAGAAAATAGATAGGTGAACAAGGCGGAAGGGTCTTGACTGGCCACCTGGCTGCCAGATTCACCTCTTTGGACGGTGAGTGGTGGCTCTTCTTCATCTCCACTGGTCAGGACCTGACAGGACAACCCAGGCCGCCTTTGTGTTTAGTCTTTGCACCAGTCTGGGTCTAAGGCATCAGTCCCAGAAAGTCGTTCCCATCTGCTAAGGTGCCCAGGGAAGGCATGATCTAAGATCAGAGGGAGAGGACAAATGTTGGCCGAGGCTTCCTGACGCAGCTCTGCTGTGGGGGGAGGGAAAGGGAGAGTGAGGGTGGTCCTGGGCCTGCTGCCGTGTACCTCCCTTAGCAGCCAGGGCCTCCCGGGTGCCACCAGCAAAACTCACGGCCCGTCAGGGTTGCAGGATGCCGGGAGACATTTCAACCTCAACATATCTTGGCAAATGGGAGTTGGCAGTATGACTTCTCTTCTTCTTTTTTAACTTTTTAAGAATGATGGGGACCAGCAGTTAGTGTAATGGCTATGTCACTGGACTCTCATGTAGTCGACCACGGTTCGCCTCCCGGACCCGGTGGCTTAAAACTCACACCGGGTGCATGTGCGTGCCTGCCCAAGATCCTGAGAGGAGAACGGAGGAGAAGGGATTGTGGTGTGACCATCCCCCCTAGGGGGTGATTTCCTGCTTTCTGTCTCTCTGTCTCTCTCTGTCTGTCTGGTGAGCGCACGCGCCCTATGGCAAAAACCTCTTAAAAAAAAAAAAAGAAAAAAAGAAAAAAGAATGATGTATTTAATTTTATTTTAAAAATTATTATTATTATTTTAATTCGCTATAGGGCACATGCACACACAAGAGAGAGAGAGAGGTGAGAAAGCAAGCCACCAGGTCCAGGATTCGATCTGTGGTTGGCCCTGTGGGAGTCCAGCGCCTTAACCACCACATCACCTGCTGGCCCCAGCAGTTCAATTCCTAAGTCCGACTCAAAGAGCCAGTGCGCACAGAAGTTTATCGCATCAAAATCCCCCTCCACAGTGCCGAGTTCCCTCCCTCCATTCCATTCTTTCTTCCTTTCTTCCTTCTTTCTTCTTTTAAGTTTTATTTATTTATTTTTATTTTGTCTATGAGAGAAAGAGAGAGAGGAAGAGAGGCACCCACAGCAGGCCCTCCTGGGCGACCCACAGCCTTTTTTCCTCCAATTCTCCATCCTGTCAGGATCTTGGGCACACGCTCAGCTTGTAAGTCTTTGAGGCTGGGACTCAAACCCTGATCAGCCACGAGGGATTGTCCAGCCTCCTGATTTGTTCCCAGCTCAGGCCCTGGCTCAGCAACCCGTTACCCGCCCCCCAAATCCCACAGCCACGATAAACAGTGGGATCCCTTACCAAGAGAGGCCAAAGAGGGGATTTGATAGGAGTCTTGGAGCAGGGGTGGGAGTTGTATGTGATGATCGAATACTCCACGTGAGACCATTGGTATCTTGGATGGTTAGTACTGAACATCCAGCCCCCAGAACAACTCTTCTTTCCCTCCCCCCACCCCCTGGGGTGCACCCGTAAGCAGCCCCCATTAATGCAGCAAACTAAGACAAACAGAAGGGTGCATGCAACCAGAGTAGCTAATGTGGAGCAACTGCCAGCTCCTGCTGCACTGGAATCCCCTCATCAGACAGAGTATCCTGAGGTACACGGGCGTAGGAAGACAAGAGGGTCAGGGTCAGCAGGTATGTGGTGCTGAAGTGCTGGACTCCCACGTGGCTGACCACAGTTCAAGTCCCAGACCTGGTGGCTTGAAAATCACATCGGGCATGTGTACGGGCGTACCCAAGATCCTGAGAGGAGACTGGAGTTGAAGGGATTATGGGATGGCCATCCCCCGTGTGCGGAGGGATTTCTCTCTCTCTCTCTCTTTCTCTCTCTGTCCTCTGTCTCTCTACGGCAAATGCACACACCCTGTGACAAAACAAAACAAAACAAACCTCAGAGGGTACACAATGTCCCTGCGTGGAGAGGAAAGGAGAAGCGTGAGTTTTAAGAGGAAGGTTCTCAACAGTATTAAACACCCTGAAACAAAGTTCAGGGAGAGTGGCGATGAGGCCTGGGGCCTAGGAACTGAGAAATGGGTCAGCCCGGGACAGCAGCCTCAGGAGGGCAGTGGGGTTGGAAGCCGACCCTGGGCATTTCAGAGGGATTGAGTGAAGGGAGAGTGACCTCACAGCCCACTGCTCCCTGAAGCTGGGCTCGCTGCATGTTCTGGGTCAAGAGAGGCCGAGGGCGGGCTCCGTGACACGTTGCACAGGGTGTGGACCGCACAGGTCACAGGTCGTTCTCTGACTGACCGCACGTGGGCACATGCGTGCCCATGATCCTGGCTGGCTGGGAAGGCTGGGGGCGGATTGTGATGTGAGACCCCGTAGAAGGTACTTGACTTTTTCTCTATCTCTGTCTCTTTCTCTGTCTCTCACTCTCATGGAAGAAGTAAATAAACTTTGACAATATAAATAAAGGGGCCATCAGGTGGTCCCTTAACCACCCAGTAGTGGTTAAGGTGCTAAACTTCCACATGGTTGATCATGGTTCAAGTCCCAGACCTGGCAGTTTGCTTTCTCATTTTTTTCTCTTTCGTTCTCTCTCTGTCTCTCTCTGGTAAGCACACATGTCTGATAGTGAATTTTAAAAATAAATAAATAAAATAAAATCATTTAAAAATATATATACATATATATATATATATAAATTAATTTTTTTCTTTTTTTTTTTTTTTCAATCCCTTCTCCATTCTCCTCTTGGGATCTTGGGCACGCACACACACGCGCCTGGTGTGAGTTTAAACCGCCGGGTCCGGGACTCAAACCGTGGGCGACTACATGGGAGTCCAGCAACATAGCCATTATGCTAACCGCTGGTCCCAATTAAAATTTTTTAAAATAGGAGCAGAAATGTTGATGAAGAAAGGGGGCCAGCAGGGTTTGGGTTACCACTTTAAAAACATGAAAAAAAGAAAGAACAATAAGGCCAAGAGAAGATTTTCGTGTGTGTGTGTGTGTGTGTGTGTGTGTGTGTGTGTGTGTGTTTTGTGGTTCACGACCCTGGGGGTGTCCCTTTGTCTCACGGTGGTAAAGAGGGAATTCCAGGTGGCGCTGGGGAGGGTGGCGAGGGGAGCTTTTCTCTGTAATGCATGAGAGTGGCCACTAGGTGGTGCCCCAAGTCCTCATTGTAATAACCACGGTTCCAGGGACTTTCCTGGCAAAATAGACATAACCTTAACTTCCAAACATGTGACAGTTACATAAAATAAACATCTTACAAAAGGCCAGCAATCAAAGCAATTAGGTCATAGGCAAGAATAGCAAACTTTGGTCATTTTCTGCCATTTACTAAATTAAACTTGTGGCCTTCGGTTCAGAGCTGCCGCTAAACGCCAAGTCTCACCCCCGTCTCCTGTGGCCTCACTCCCTCCAGGGACTCCCTACCACTGGTTCCATCTGAGACAAGAAGCCAGCCGGCCCCAAGCCCCAGCCCTGGCTCAAAGAGCGAGCTCCTCACTGTGGCTGGCGTGGAACCGTGAAGGGTGGCTTCCTAGCTGCAGAACTGAGTCAACTGCAGGAAGAAAAGGGGGAAACGGGTGCGACGGTGGCATAGCAGAGGGACACGACACTCTGTGAAACCAACCCACGTGAGAAGGTTCCAGGTTCACATCTGGGGACCTCCCAGATGTGCATGTCCATGATCTGGAGGTGGCTGAGACTGGGATGAATCGTGGCATCAAGACCCTGTTGGGGTGCTGTCTCTCTCTTTTTCTCTATCTCTCTTGCTTATGAGATAAATAAATAAGTAAACTTAAAAAAGAAAAAGAGGGAGGAGCTAGCAGGTAGCATGGTATTTGAAGAAGTGGATTCCCACGTAGTCAACTGCAGTTCAAGTCCCGGATCCAGTGACTTGAGACTCACATCAGGGGTATGTGTGTGTGTGTGTGTCTGTATGTCCAATTCCAAGAGAAGGGATTGTGGCATGGCCATCCCCCTGGGGTTTAATTTCTCACTTCTGTCTCTGTCTCTCTCTCTGGTGAGTGCATGCACCCTACAGAAAAAAAAAAGTCTCTCTAAAAAGAAAAAAGGGGGGAAAATTGTTGGTTTGCTTCTTCTCAGCTTGTTTGAAGTCAGATGGGGAGGTGAGAGAGGGCTGAGGGGGAGGGGGTGTGGGCTGGGAGGGGAGCTGGGGTGCAGATAATGTTCAAGCAGAGACCACAGTCCCGAGGGAACCTGGGCACTAGGCAGAGACGCAGAGGGGCAGGCAGGGAGGTGGGAGACTTGGCCCGGCTGGAGCGAAGGCGAGGCTGAGTGAATGGGCCGAGGGATGCTGGCTCTCCCCCAGGGCTGCGAGAGGGGAGCAGGGACAGGACCAGAAACAACTCGGCAGCCTCCTGGGCCCAGGCTCTCCCTCCCATAAGGCTCTGCCATCCACTCTCTGAAGAGTAAACCTTCATGGGGCCGGCCAGGAGGGGCCTGGGGCACAGAGCCTGTCAGAGGCCTCAGAGGCCCTGATCTAATCTGCTCCTTACAGGGGGAAGCCAAGGGCCGTAGTAAAGGGGCCACACAAAGCCACACGGAAGAGCCAGAACAGAACTCAGGCTTCTGGCCTGGGCTCAAGCCCGCGTCCCTTTCTCTCCAGCCAGGTTGCCCTAGACCTGGACAGAAGAGGCTGAGGACCGAGGGAGGCCCAGGACTGACTTGGGGGCTGGAGGCGGGTGTTACTTGTGAGGAGTAGATGGCACCCCGGGAGGTGGCCTCTGGCTCACCCTCCAGCCCCTCCTGAACCTCCTCCAGAAACCGCCCCCACCCCCAGTTGTCCCGTGCCTGGCCTGACGCCCGGTGCAAGGAGACAGATTGTAAAGGAAAAGCAAAGCCCTGACCTCTCTGTCTTTGCTGTTGACTTTTAGGAATCTCCTACCAGCGCCTGGTGAGGGCTGAGCAGGGCCTGCCCATCAGGAGTCACCGAAGTTCCACCGTGTGAGTGCCCTTGGGAGAGGGAGGGACCCCCCCAGGCCTTCCCCCCACACTGCTTCACCCTCCCCACCGCCCCAGTCTGGCATTCCCTCTATCACTGCACCCCTCCCACCCCAGCCACCAACAAACAGGTTTCGAGGGGACCCGCAGCGCCCTGGAATTGGGGATATTTCATGCATAGGTTCATTTTTCTAGGCTGAGGGTCTTTTATCAGAGTCTTTAAGGGGGCTGCATCAGTTTTTTCCAGAGGTTGGGTGTAAATCGCTTCGCTGCATCCCTACTTTTTAGAGGAGGAAATTGGAAGCCAGGAAGCCTAAGTAACACCCACCCCCCCAAAGGTCACACAGCTAGTGTCTGAGACAGGATTTGAAACTGGTTTATTCGAAAGCCCATGCTCTTTCTCCACTGTCTTTCTGCCTGAAACGGTTTCCAGCCTTTGTTGCCCAGGGCCAAAAATTACATATATATGTATGTGTGTGTGTATATGTATACATTTATTATCTGAGAGACAAAAGGAGAGAGAGAGATGAAGAGAGAGAAGCATGCCAACGGGGTCCTCACACCACGATCCACACCCAGCCGCAGCCAGCCTGGGTACGGGCATGCACCTGGCACGTCCGGGGAGGTCTGGGATGTGAACCTAGGGCCTTTCCCATGCGAGTCCAGTTGTGTCACTGCTGTGCCACCACCCGGCCTTTAGCGTTAAATTTTACACACCAGCCTGGTACACACGCATGAACACACAGAGCGCTGAAAGAACGCGGGAAACAAGACTTCGCCGGGCCACGGAGCCAGAGCGCCGGCCTATTCTGATCTATTCCATTTGAAACACAAATTCTGGTGTGACTTCCCAAGGGGATTTCATTACCCACGCGTGGGCTCTGCCTTGCAGTGTGAAGAGCGCTAGAGGGGGGTGCCCATTTGCGGGGCCCTCTGGCAGCCTGAACCCTCAGGGGTGCTTCTTGCTTTGCCATGCTGGCAGTCGGGGACCCTGACTCAGGATCGTCACTGCCCGTCCCGGCCCTCCTTAGTCCCAGAGCTTCACTCCACATTCACACCACACCAGAATGACTTCTGAGTTTCTTCCCGGTAAAAGCAAACAAAAATACTTCCCTAGACCAGCAGGGGGCGCGGAGGTTCAGGCGGCTGGATTCCACATGGCCCACTCTGCAGTTTGAGCCCCAGACTCGGAGGCTTGAAAAATCACACCGAGCGAAGTGTGGATGCATGCCCAAAATCCCAAGGGGAGACTCGAGAAGGGATTGTACTGTGGCCATCCCCCCAGGGGGTGATTTCTCACTTTCCCTCTCTCTCTGTCTCTATCTCTCTTGGTGAGTGCATGCACCCTATGGCAAAAACTAAAAAGGAAAGGAAAGAACCTCACTAGCTGCAATTTTGTATCTGTTAACGTCTCCCTATCACCCATCTGTAAACTCCCCCCTATCCCCCTCTTCCCCTTCTCTTCTCTGGTAACCACTACACTACTGTCTACACTCACGAGACCAACTTTTCTTAGCTTCCTCGCAGGCAAAAGCGCATGCAATATTTCTCTTTATGTGCCTGGCTTATTTTTTATAGTGTATAGTTCAGTACGATGGTTAATACAAAGATGCTGGAGATGATAGATGCAATACTGATCGGATCATTACACATCGTATACAGGTGTTGAAATATCACACCCGCCCCATCAATATGTACAATTATCATTTGTCACCCTACTGGAATGACAATTTCAAAAGTGCCTTTGGTGGATGATGAGAGAGACAGAAAGGACATAAAATGTTGCAGTTTAGTAAATAAAAAAAATACTCTCGGGGGACCAGACAGAGGTGCTGTGTGAACATAAATGTCTTCAAGACAGACCCACATGGAAAGTTCTAGATTCACATCCAGAGACCTCCCTGAATATGTGTTAGGGCCCACTGAGGCTGGGGGTGGATTGCAGCTTGAGGACCCAGTGGGGAAGCTGCTTCTGTCTCTCTCTGTCTCTGCTTCTCTCACTCCTGGAAGAAAGATATAAACTTAAAAAAAAAAAAAGATACCTCCAAGGCCTTGTGACAGGTGCATTCCAGGCGCTGTTCTGAGCAGCACGTGTCACTCATGTAACCCTCCCGTTAACGCTGTAAGAGGTGTTTTCCTGATAAGGGCAGTGAGGCACAGAGAGTGTAGTGGGAAGAGCTCAGGGTGGGGAGATGGTCTCTCTCTCATCATCTATAAATCGTGAACAGTAAGTTCTTCAGTGAGGACCTCATGCGAGGTGGTGAGGGCGGGGCTTGGCTGGTCTCCCGCACATGGTGGTGCTTGACACGAGTCCATGGAAGAAGTGACGGAGCTCTCAGCAAGGGGCCGGGGCTCCGGAAGGCACTGCTGGGGAGAATTGCTCCCCGATGATGGGGACTCTTAACATAGACTCGTCCTGTCTCTGTGACTGAGCCTGGGCCTGGCTCTGGGACAGATGCTCACAGAACCTGGAGGGAACGCTCCCTGCATGGGGCCCTGTGCCCTGGAGTCGGAGCATGGAGCTGAGGACGAGCACGGCTTTGAGCGGGTCACGCTGTGCGTGGCTGTCACACCGAGCTGGCTTGGCCTCGCTTTGAGATAATGCAGTGATGCGGTGACGTGAGACCAGCCAGGTGTCGTCCCTCATGGGACTACTCCCTGGACCCATGGTCCCCCTAATATAAGGGCAGCCTTGACAGTTACCATGATAAAGAAGTTTCCGCACTGACGCCAAGAGGGAACTCGGGTATCGGGCAGGAGGCAGGAGGTGGTGGGCATGTGCTCCCCGACCAGTCTGATGCTAACCCACGTCATGGCTTTGGGCTAAATAGGAGAAGTGGCCCCCGTGGGCAGGCCACCCCACACCATGAGGGTTTCTGGTCCCACTTGTCCTGGGCCTCGCTGTAATAGCACGTTGCTGCCCTGCTCCCCTGTCCCCCCGAGAAATGGCCACCTGGCCTGAAGTCACTTCACCTAAATACCATTCTCTCTCCCTTTTTTATTTTCCCAAATGTATTCCCTTACCTCTTTCATGAGCAAGAGAGACAGGAGGAGAGAGACAGACAGCACCCAAACAGGGTCCTGGTGCCGTGACCCGCCCCCAGCCTCAGCCAGCCCTGGACCAGGGCACTCGCCTGCTGGCGGGCTCACAGAGATCTCTGGCTGGAACTGGAGCCACCCTGTGGGGCAGACCCCCAGAGCACTGTGCTTTTCCCACTGGGTCCTGCAGCCTCAGTTCATGGCCCCACTCTTTTTGAGAAATCTTATATCCACTTAGATATCCCATAAGAAAAAAAATGTCTATATAAAAATTAAGGGGGAAGGACCAGCAGATGGTTTCATCGCTAGACTCCCACATGGTCAAGCATGGTTTGAGTCCCAGACCTGGTGGCTTAAAAATCACACCAGAAGCACGTCACTGTGTGCCCAAGATCCCGGGAGGAGAATGGAAGAGAAGGGATTGTGGTGTGGCCATCCCCCTGGGGGCTGATTTCTCACTTTCCCTCTTATCTCTGTCTCTCTCTCTCCAGAGAGCACACATGCTCTATGAGAAAAATATCTTTTAAAAAATTAAGAGGGGCCAGCTCTGTGGCCTAGTGGCTAAAGGATTTCATAGGGTTGACCGTACAGTTCAAAGCCAGCCCCAGTGGACTGGAAAACATGCCAAACAGGTGTGTGTGTGTGTCGTCAAATCCCAACGAGATGAATAAATGGAGGAGAAGGGATCGGGTGTGACAAGGCCCATTGGGGAGTGCTCTTGCTCTCTCTCTCTCCCCTCTTTTAAAAAATGTTAGAGAGATTTTGCTATAGGGCGCGTGCACTCGCCAGAAAGACAGAGAGAGAGAGAGAGAGACAGAAAGTGAGAAATCACCCCCCACGGGAGATTGCCACGCCGCAATCCCTTCTCCTCCATTCTCCTCTCGGGATCTTGGGCACGCACGCACACGCACTCAGCATGTTTCAAGCCATCGGGTCCGGGACTTGAACCATGGTGGACTACAGAGGAGTCCAGCAACATAACCATTACAGCATCTGCTGGTCCCTCTCCCCCCTACTCTTCCTTGTTCTGTCTCTCTGTCTCTTTCTGGTGAGCACATGAGCTCTCTGGCCAATATTTGTCAAATTAAGGTAAAATTTATTTTTAAAAAATTAACTTTAATTTTGAAAAGGTCTTTGAAAACAACAACGGGAAAACCCTCAAATGTAGACCACAAGCTTTCCCTTGGGACAGAAACCCTCAAGTCCCCTGCCCCTCCCTGGGTCTCCTGTTGGCACTTACTCAGGATCAGCCTGGACCCAGGGCTCAGTGGTGCGGAGCGCTGGTGGGCAGGAGGGGTGTGGCTGCACCTGGGCATGCCGCCACCCCCAGGTGCCAGACCGGTCCCTGTGCCCCCAGCACCGTGTTGTTGCTGAACCCGGTGGAAGTGCAGGCCGAGTTCCTTGCCGTGGCCGACAAGCTGAGTGCACCCGGACACTCGCCGCACAGCACCTACACCACCCTGCTCCTGCATGCCTTCCAGGCCACCTTCGGGGCCCACTGTGACCTCCCGGGCCTGCACTGCATGCTGCAGGTACGCACCCGGGCCCTGGGCTCTGGCCGAACACTCTCCAGAGAGGCTCCGTCATAGCCAGTCTCTGGGGTGCACTGGCCTCCTTCACCCTGAGTGACGTGGCAGGCCGTGGCTGGAGGACTGCCTGGTGGAGAAAGCTCCTGGCATTCTGGGTCCTGAGCAGAGCCGGTGGCATCCTGGGCAGTAGAGTCGGGCCGATGCCTGGTGCCTCTGAAGATGGCCTATGCCACCCATGGGAATGGGAGTGAGGCCCACTCTGGCTTCTTGGCCTGGCTTGGCCTTGTTTTGGGATAACGCAGTGATGCGGTGACATGAGACCAGCTAGGTGTCATCCAGGTGTCAGCCCAGGCTCTTCATCTTTTTTTCTTCTACTTTATTTTTTAATTTCTTTCATAAACGAGAAAGACAGGTCAGCTATTATTAGCCGCATCCTCTCTCGGGTGCAGTGCGGAGCTCCGACGCCCCTCCCAGCTCTGCAGTGCTATGGCTCTGGCCTTTCTCTTTTCCTGGGAATGGGGAGGGGATGGTGTAGGGGAGGCTTGGTTCCCTGGCCAGCTGTGGGTAGAGGCAGGTGATGGGAGGAGAGGGGTCATTGCTCCCCATGGTCAGGGCCTGGGAGCTGGACGAGGCAGGCAGCCAGGCCATGGCACAGAAGCAAACCTTGTCTCCTCCCGGGATTCCAGTCCAAGACCCTGGCGGAGCTTGAGGACATCTTCACGGAGACTGCAGAGGCACAGGAGCTGGCAGCCGGCGTCGGGGATGCAGTGGAGGCCCCCCAG